CTGGCTGCCAGTGTATTCCACTGGTAAGGAACGCCCTGCTCCGTCCGAGGCGCCCGGCATAGCAGGATTCTGGTTCCTCACCCAGCACAGATGCAGTGAAGAGTGCCCACCAATTTGATTCCTTTTCCTTTACACTTGTGTTGCTATGATGGCTCAGCAAGCGGTTGGCCTTCCCTGCCTCAGGGAAGATTCAGAAGGCTCCAGAGGTCCCAGCGCCAGCGTCAGCCAGGTTTCTCCTTTTGTAATAGGTAATCTGTGGAGAGACGCTTTTAGACTTACTTTAGACTTTCTTTAAATTCACCTAAAGAAAAATCTGCACTCAGAGTTTCAGTTGTGAGTTCTATTAAAAAGGAAAAGAACAAACAGCAAAATTTCAAACCTAAAAAAATACAAAAGAAACATTTTAACTCCTTCTATGAGGCTAGTATCACTCTGACCCCCAAATCAAACGCACACCACAGATAAAGGAAATTACTGAACAATATCCCTTATCTATGTAGCTGACAAAATTCCCTACAAAATATCACCAACCCAAATGCAGCATAAATTTACCGAAAGGAAGCCAGTGTCATGCATCCTCTTAACAAAATGGAGGCAAAAAAACAGGTAATCATCTCAACAGATGTAGAAAAAGTGTGACGGACTCCACTCTTTCATCATAAACACACTTTATCAGCTTAGGAACAGGCAGGAACAATGCTGGCCTTTTAAAGGCTTTTCATTTCTTTCTTTTTTAAAAAAATTTTATTTATTTATTTATGTGTGTGTGGCCAGCTCAGCCCACCAGGGGGCGGGGCTGGCTGGCATGTGGTGCTGGGGGATTGAACCGCGGTCCCTGTGCTTTGCCAAGCTTGTTCTAAGTAGGTGCTTTAGACCACTGAGCCATCTCACCAGCCCCAAGGCTTTTCATTTCTGAAAAGCCCACTGCCTCATCTGCTCTACCCAGTAACACTATGTGCTCTTCCCCACTCTCTTTTTCTTTTCGTGGTACTGGAAATCAAACTAGAGCCTTCTTTAAATTTCTTTCTTGGGCCAGGATGTGTGTGTGGGGGGGATGGCTCGATAGAATAAGCGCTTCCCTGGCAAGTGCAGGGGCCTGAGTTCAATCCCCGGTTCCGCAAAACAACAACAAAAAATTTCTTTCATCCTTTCTTCTTAGATAGGATCATGCTAAATTACCAAGGATGGGCTTAAATTTGAAACACTCCTGCCTCAGCCTCCAAGTGCTGGTATTACAGGGTGCTGCTATGCCCTGCCTCCAGGCTTGTTCTCTGTGGTGAAAGTCTGCTGGTGTTCCAAATCTTTGGAACTTTTCTTTTTAGAGGTACCAGGGATAGAACTCAGGACCCTGCGCTTGCTAGGCAAGGGTTTATGCCACTGAGCTATGTCCCCAACCCCTGTGGTGAAAGTCTGAAGGCTCCCCCAACAGATCAGGAACAGGACGAAGATGTCCAGGCCAGCCAGATAGCTCAGCGGACTAAAGAGCTTGCTTAGGCAGAGCACAGTGGCCGGGGTTCGATCCCCTGCATGCCATGCTGGCCCTGCCCCTTGGGCGCGCTGAGACAGGGATTGAGACTGTGTGTGGTGGCGTGGGCCTATCATCCTAGCACTTGGGAGGCTGAAAACAGGAGAATCACTACAAGTCTGATTTATGTAGTGAGACCTTGTACACCCTGCCCTAAATTCATAAAAAAATAAATAAAAAATTAAAAAAATAAAGATGAAGATGTTCAATTTTCCTATTTCTAGTCAGCATTTTAACAGAGGAAACAAAATAGAAGGCAACCATTAGGAAGGAATGAAGTCAAACTATGCTTGTGAACAGAAGTCATATATAGAAAACTAAAGATTCCAGATGTTTGAAAACTACGTTACAACTCTTTTGTAAATGAGTTCAGCAAGGTTGCAGGCTACTAAGTATGTCTGTATTCTAGGAAAACAAAAAAAATTCCTACTTAACTTCATGGATAAATAAACAAAATATATTTTTAACATACCAGTTACGAAATTCTTTAAAAGAGCAGAGGTAAAGCGCAAGGACCCAAGTTTGGTCCCTAGTACTGGAAAAAAAAAAAAAAAAAAAAAAAGCAGAGGTAGATCTGTGTGACATTTGATTATTCAGTGGTTTCTTTAATATGACATTTTTAAAAAAATGCATTTAGTACAGGGTCTACAGGGTCTCATTACACAGATTGGATTTGTAGTGATTCTTCTGTTTTCAGCCTCCCAAGTGCTGGGGTTACTGTGTGCACTGCCACACCCAGTCTCAATCTCAGTCTCAGTGTGCCCTGGGGGTGGGGCCAGCAAGGCATACTGGGGGATCAAACCCTGGTCCCTGTGTCTGCCTAAGAAGGCGCTTTAGTCAGCTGAGCTATCTGGCTGGCCCTTTCATATGACATTTCTTTCTTTTTTTAAAAAAATTATTTATTTATTTATTTGTGTGTGTGTGTGGCCAGCTCAGCCCACCAGGGGGCGGGGCTGGCTGGCATGTGGTGCTGGGGGATTGAACCGCGGTCCCTGTGCTTTGCTAAGCTTGTTCTAAGTAGGTGCTTTAGACCACTGAGCCATCTCACCAGCCCCTCATATGATATTTCAAGCACAGTAATTCAAGAAAAATTGACTGGACCCTTAAAAAGTTAAAAAAGGACATAAAAAAATGAAAAGAGGGGCTAGATGTGTTAGTGCATGCTCGTAATTCTAGCACCTGGGAGGCTGAGACAGGAGGATTACTGTGAATTTGAGGCCAGCCTGGACTACAGAATGAGTTCAAGGCCAATCTGAAGATAAATAGCAAGTCCCTGTCTCAAAAACTCAAAAGATCCAGGAATGGTGGCACCCACCTATAATCCCAGCACTTGGGAGGTTGAGGCAGGAGGATTGCTGGGAATTTGAGGCCAGCCTGGGCTACATAAGTGAGCTTAGCTCAGTGGCATAAGTGCCTACCTGGCAAGCACAAGGTCCTGAGTTCAATCCCCAGTTTAAAACAACAGCAAAAAAGGACTAGAGAATCCTAGTACTTGGTAGCTGAGGCAGAACACTGGGCTACAACCTAAACTCCATAGTGAGACCTTTACTAGGCTGGACTACATAGTGAGACCCTGCCTACAAAACACCAAAAGAAAATGAAGACAACTAACAGACAGAACTAATTTGCAAATCATATATCAAATAGGGCCAATGTCTAAAAAGTACTGTCACGGCTTGTGTCTAGATGTCCCCCCAAAGTCTCAGGAGGTGGGTTTGTCAGGGGTGGCTGGTCTAAAGTATGACACTGGGATCAACTCATGGTGCAGGGCTAGGACCAAGAGCACTGGGATTAAGGGTGTGGGGTAGGGAGAGCTGTGGCCATCCCTTGTTGCTTTGCTACTTTCTGTCTGCCAGGAACTGTTTCTCTTCTCTGATGCCAACCAGCCACACCACCCTGCCTTGAAGCCAGCTGATTATGAACTGAAACTCTACACATAAAATTTGAGCTAAATAAACCTCTGCTCCTTTAACTTTGGGTGTTGAGTATTTTGTCTCAGCAATGAGAAAAGTAAGACAAACCCTGCCCAAAATTAATTAAAAAAAAAACAGGGAAAGGGCTTGAATAGGAAATGAAGGCTTTACACTGCTTGGGGACAGAAGAGGGACGGAGCGGCCTGCAGGGGAGCAGCTGTCCGGTCTGGCTTTGGACTAGGTTCTCCAGGGGAGCGCCCAGCTGAGCCTATCTGCATCCATGAGGCAGAGGCCAGGCCATCGCTGCCCTCCCCACAGGGCCCTGGGTAGCCCACCATGACAATGAGCCTCTGACCCACAGTGTCAGTGCTAGAGGCTGAGAGACCGTTTAAAGCGTAAGTTTGATAAAATACAAACATAAAGAACCAGTAAGCTATCTGGAAAAAAAAACACACACACAAAACCCATTGAGAACCGTAACACATACTGCCAAGTGAACAAGAACAAAACCCCCCTTTTTGCACAGCTCACAGCACTCGCAGCATTGAGCTCTGGCTCTCTTAGTGAGCAGCAGGGCTGAGCTGGCCAGCTATGCTTGGGAGCAGGGTTGGCTTGTGAATAAAGATAGCCAGGCTTTGGCTTACAAGAAGTAAATCACCCACCCTCCCAACTGAGCTGCCACAGGACCCTAAAAGCAAAACACTGAAGCTTTCACTGCTACCTAAGTAGGCTAATGAACTGGGGCCTTTAGGCAAGCCTTGGCTCAGACATCGGGGACTTTTTGGGTGCTACTTAAATCATCTGTGGCCATTGCTGAAGCAATTAATTTTAGAGCATGAGAAGTTTGGATTTTGATATTCATGTAAGTAAGAAAGGTTCAGTTAAGCCAAAGTAATGGACTAGGATCTTCTAGCTGAATAGGAACCAGTCTGACACCAGCACTGCATAATCCTTACAGACCAAGTCTCTGAAATTGGCAGCTAAGTAACTGGTAGAGCCACTCCAAGCTAGGTGTGGCGCACACCTGCAGTGCCAGCACTTGGGAGGCCGAGGCAGGATGGCCGAGTTCAAGGCTGTGAACTGCACAGCAAACTCCTGCCTCAACACCTCCCAAGAAAGGCACAGTGAAGTAGTCTGTCATTATCTATAGGAATCCTTAAAGAGTGTTTCTGAAGAACAGCCTGACACTTCATCAGAGAATGCAAAACAAGGAGTAAGGTTTGCTACATTATGGTGGAAGGAAATGTTAAGAAGGCATTGTGAACCCGTTGTGGTTTCATCATTTACTGACATCAAATATACAAACACAGGGCTGGGGAGATAGCTTGGTGGCCTAAGTGACTGCCTGGCAGTGTAACGGCCCAGGCTCTATCCCTGGTGCTGCATACCAAGCTGGCCCATGCTGTGCCAGCCACTGGAATTGGGCGTAGGGGTGCACGCCTGTAATCCCATCGCTGGGGTGCTGAGACAGGAGGATCACTATGAGTCGAGCTGTGTGGCAAGACCCTGTGCCAAATAAATAAATCAATCTTCAAATATAAAAACACAGAAGAAATGCAAGATCTGGAAAAGGTAGACTTTAATAACTTTTTATCACCAGGTTGTCATGCAGTTACAAAGTGGTTAGAAATTTCTGAAAGGGCATTATTGTTAAAAAAACAAAAACAAAAACAAAAAAAAAAGCACTCATCCTTATATAAATAGTATCTAGTATTCCATTAGGACACTACATTTCAAAATGCCTTGGCCAAAGAATTCCGCAGCCCTCCAGTCCGTGGTGAATGGGATGGAGCAAGGCCAGCGGGCTCCACAGTGCTCAGAGGCAGATGGGCTCCAAGCGAGGGTCTGTGGTTTTTCCTGGGACATTCTACCTCAACTGCGGTCCAATTAGTCAACATAACAGGTCTTCAAAGGGGAGGAAAGACTGATTAATTACTATGATAAGGGTGTTACTGCATTCTTTGGACTACGTGTCATAATTAGCAAATCCTGATGGTTAACAAAAATAGTTTCCGTGGTTGCAGGTATGAAGATGACTCTCCACTGGGTTTTGTAGTTCCTGCTGGACAATACAAGACTGATAAGCTATAAATGATATTGTTATGTTATAAAAATACTAGCTTTCTTCATTTATTATGTTTATAGGCATTTCCTGCTTGAGTCAAGGTTAGGCTTGTTAAGTGATTAAAGGCAATTTATTACAGCAGCATGTACATATTTTATTCTAAAAGAATAAAATGCACAAGAGGAATAGCTTTTATTTTTCTTTGCAACTTGTGAAATTGAGTTTTTTGTTGTTGTTGATGTAAAATACTTTTACTCAAGTAACTCACTTGAGGACCATGCCACCTTATGAGGATGCCATATAACTACCTAGGTGTGTAAAAGCGCTAGCTCACAGAGGCTTCTGGGTCAGCATGGACTGGGATCTGGGAGCAAGGCCACAGCCCAGGAGGGGCTTTCTAGTCCGAGGCAAGATGTCTGTGTGGCTCCCTGGCACAGCTTGTGCAAGATCCCCTAGCCTTCTCTTGCTTCCTTTTAAAGGGCTGATTTGGGCTGACTGGTTGAGAGTGGTCCATTATCTACTGAGTCATGGGAAAGATTGCTGCGGTTACATGTAAACTGAGGGCTGCAGAAAGTACAGGTGGAGGGGGTGGCCAAGCACCACCAGTATCTAGGTGAAGGTCACACCAGCTTCATTGTACACTTTGAAGACCTTCTCAATGGCATTGACATAGGCCGCCGTCCTCAGGTCCAAGCCCAGGTTGTACTTCATCGCTGTGCGCATGATTTGCTGAAACAGAGGAGAGAAAGGCATAAGACCCCACGTAAGCAGCCGCACTGGGAACACACATGGCACACCTGGCCTCATTCAAGGCAGGGGTGGGAGGCCACAAACTACTCTGTCACCAAGGCCCAAGTCTCCTTGGGCTCGTTAGATCCTGCTATCTGGAATGAGTTCCAGCAGACACTTCTGAATAATTTTTTAAAAGAGTAAATTGTGGGATGACCAAAGTACTCCACAACATCATGATGGCCACAGCTGTACAGCTCTGTGCATTTAGTACAGGCTGCTGAGTTACATACTTTATAAAGGATGAGTGTATGGCATTTTAATTGTATCCCAAAATATTAATTACACCAACCCTCAGAACTGCCACTTTTCATAGGCCAGAGAGATAGCTCTGTGGTCTAAGCACCTGCCTGGCAAGCGCATAGTCCCAGGTTCAATCCCCAGTAATGCATACTGTGCCAGCCCCCGAACTCCAGGCACGCAATGCTGGCCACCGAAAAAGGACGTGGTGGCGCACGCCTGTAATTCTAGTGCTGGGGAGGCTGAGATAAGAGGATCACTACGAGTTCGAGCTGTGTATCGAGACCCTGTACCAATTAAATAAATCAATCTTGGCCGGGGAGATAGCTCAGTAGAATAAGCACTTGCCTGGCAAGCACAAGGGCCTGAGTTCAATCCCCGGTTCCACAAAAAAAACTAACGTCTAAAATGTAGCTAGTGAGGGGCTGAATTTGGAGCCATATCCATATCGAAAATATAAAAAAAAAAAAAAAAAAAAATCAATCTTTAAAAAGGGGCTGGCTAGATAGCTCAGTGGACTAAAGTGCCTGTTTCCGCAAAGTGCAGTGGCCAGGGTTTGATCCCTGGCATGTAGTACTGGTCCCACTCCCAGGACATGCTAAGATAGTGATGAAAACTGGGCGTGGTAGTACACACCTATAATCCCAGCAATTGGTAAACTGAAAACAGGAGAATCACTATGAGTCTGATCTATGTAGTGAGACCCTGCACACACCCTGTCCTAAATTCACTAAAAACAACCACTTTTCATCAATATGTTTATGTTGCTTCCATTCAGAAATCCAAGTAGGCAGAATCAGAAGAAGAAATTAGAAGAACTGTGAAACAGAAGTCTGGTGGCAAAGACCCCTCCTTACAGTCCATTAGTGGGCTGCCTGCAGCTGTGCCGTAGGTGAGCATGGATCCAGAACTAACTGTCCCTCACCCTTAACATCATGCCCAAGTCCCGGGTCTGCTGGGCACACTGGAGAATGAGAACCCCGCTCATCCTCTGAGGCAGGAGTGCGTGTTCCACTGCACACAAATGAGGCTGTGTTTACACTGCTGTTTTCTACCCCTCCCTCCATGGTCCACCTGTGGGATGAGGCAGTGGAGGGTCCTTTATGCTACCAGCAGGAAGGCAGATGGCACCTGCTACGTACCCTGGCAGACCGCTCCATTGTGTAGGCCAAGCCCGAGTGCACAATGTCTTTTTCCGATGCGCCCTGTTGAGAAAAAGAGCACAAATGTATCAAAACCACACCAACATGCCTCTAAGTCAAGGCAGAGCCAGATGGGTTCTGGGGTTTCAGTAAAGCCCTAAGTAATTTCTATAAAGTATCCACTGGAGCAAAGTAACTACTTCTTCTTCTTCTTCTTTTTTTTTTTTTTGGTGTGTTTGTCATACATAATAACTATTCATGCTGGGAAATGGATACATATGTACCTTGTATCTTGATCATTTGACCTCCTCCTTTCCTTTAACCCCCTTCCCCATTTCTAATAACTCTCCTTGCTTCCACCAAGCAGGAACCTGAACTTGAGCCACAGTTCAGTTTTAGTTACATCTGGTGGCAATAGATACTAATGAAATAAGATTGTGGTAAAACAATGAATGCACAAAGGTATGGACCACAAAACCCAGGGGCAGGCAGTGATGTCAGCTCCCTGCACTCAGATGCACTCCGGGCCGCATCACACTGTCTATGTCATGGTCCTCCGTGTCACAGGAGACCAGGCCTGGCACAAAGAGGAACCTGGGTCAAGCCTACAGGAGCCCTGGAGTGCACTCCTACCTATGCTACTTAGCAGTACCGCCAGCACTAAGGCTGGTGGATCTTAGCAGCTCTGTAACATTAATCCTGAGGCAACCCGGGACCTTCTACTATCTTTCCCAGCTGCTCTCTTTCCTATACCAATTATTTCTAAAAGCCAATTTATTTGAGTAGACTCATCTGTGCAATGTTTCTTGGAATGCATTCTAAAAACAATTTAAGGACAAGAAACTATCACTCTTAATGTGCCGCACAAAGCCATAGAACACATCCTGCTGTGCCACTTCAACATCACCAATAAAAGTGCTAAACAGCATCCAATTCATGTACAGTACTGTAAGATACACATTTTTGAATCTGTCTACAAAGTCTATTTCAGTAACATTTGTGCCTATTATGTGGTAGGGACCTTTACGGGTTCTGAGGACCAGCAGAAAAGAAAACAATGTGAACTGTTCTCTGACAATCTATCCTGCTCAGGGGAGAATGCGAATGCAGACTTAAGCCACGAGGCTAAGGAGACAATGCTGCTGTGAATCCAGACCATGAAGGCAAGGGATCAGTGGAAAGGGAAGACAGTGGAGGCCTGTGAGGCAGGAAGAAAGCCAGGGGATGTGGTATCCAGGAAAGTACAAGGAAGCATCCCCAGGCAGGAGCGTTGCACGGTGAGACGAGATAAGGCTGAGTCAAGGTGAAGACTAGGCTCCGACAAAGTCACTGAACGCTTGACAAGAACAGGGCAAGTATGGCTCTTTCCTGCAGTTTTGGTGGGTCTGTGGATTGAACTGAGGGCCTTGTGCATATGTGGCAAATGCTTTACCACTGAGGGTATCCCCAGCTCTTAAAATTTCAAGGCAAGGTCTTGCCAAGTTGCCAAGGCTGGCCTCAAACATGGAAGTAGCTAGAATTAGTGCACTACCATACACAGCATATTCAACTCCTGGGAAGACTGGTGAAAAGCACTAAGAATGGCAGTGATGGGAAGGAACACAGCTGAAGACATGGTTATACTGAGCACTGAGTACATGGAGAATAAACATGCCATGGAGGGAGTGCTGGAAGGGAGCAGCACTAGCTGGCACAGAGTTCCCAAGGACTCAAGGATGGGCTATGCAATGCTTTAGCCCACGACCCACAAGGGTGGAAGCCAGGGGCCACTCCACTGTGAAAAGAAATGGCTGGGGGAGCAGTGGCCAGCAGAGGCCGGATATGCAGGTCCTTGAGAGATGCCTCTCCTGTGCCAGACAACTGCTGGCTCACAGGACAAATAAGGGATGAGAGGGACAAAGAAAAGCAGATGTTGAGTAGCCCCAAGGCCAACCATATGAATGGCCAGCAGGGCCACAGCTGCATGGCATGAGGGGACAGTCTGGGCTTTCCTTGTGTTCCCTCTTTCCAGGTGCAGTCTGTGGCATGCATGTACCAGGTATCTGCTGAATACATGTGTTGCTGGTCACTTATGAAGCAGTGGGTCCTAAGCTCCAGCTTTCCACAGAAAGCCACCGTAGTATTTTGTATGTGAAGGTGTCAAGCACCCTGCCCAGGAACCAGGATGGAGTTAGCAAAACTCCAAGTCAGAAGGGCACTGTGGGAACACTACTGAGCATACAGCATCTTCATCTGCACAAAGTCCTTTCCCAGGCTGCATTTGGGCCTTAGATTACTTCCCATGCCAGGCTATCTGCTAAAGAGATGCTATTACAACTGAGCCATTTCCCTGTTTAACATTACACTGTTAAAGTGGATCTAACTGAAAAACTAGCCACAAATAGCTGTAAGACGTCAGCATGGAGTCATGCCTCTCCTGAATTATTTTCTCAGGACAAACCCCATGGCAAGGTTATGGCAGACCAAAGGCAGGGACACTGACAGCTCTTCCACAGAGCAGTACCAGTCTGTACTGTCCTCAGAAGAAAAGTCTGGCATCTTAGCACAGTGAGCCTAAGGCCACTGGCTGGGGTAGGGTGCAGTTTAGTGGCGGGGCCCTCGCCAAGAGCACACGAGGTACAGATCCCCAGCATCCTAGGAGAATGAATTCCTGTTTTGTTTATACCAAAGCTGGCTCAAATGGTTCCCAGGCATATACTCATGACTTTGCTTATTCATGCCTTTTCTCACAAAGTGGTAAGCAGATTTCTTTGCAAAATGTATATACTATTAATACGTTCTGGCAATGGTTTATTAATGTAAAACACTTTCCAATTTGTTTTCTAGCCAGGGTAGCACAGCCCTGTGATCTGACACACAGGCTGAGGCAGGAAGATTGTTAAAGAGTTGAAGGCCGGGCTGGGCTACATGAACAAGTTGAAGGTCAGTCTGTAATACACAGTGAGACCCTATCTCAAAAAAGTAAAAACAAAACAAAAATACACGTTCTTTGACTACTTGAGTCCATATAGCAATTTCCTATTTTCAGAGCTCAGTCTAATGTTTACTCTTCATACTTCTCTGAAACTTAAGAACATAAAATAAAGCAGGGAGTGGTGGCACATGCCTGTGGTGTCAGCACTGTGGAAGCAGGAGAAATAGTGAGTTCGGAGGCTGTCTACGTAGTGAGACCCTAGCTTAAAAAAAAAAAAAAAAAAAAAAAAAAAAACTAAGCCAAAAACTAAACCAAGGAGAGTCTACAATATATATGAATCCTTCATGCTTATGCCAAGTCACTGTTAAATCATCTGCAATTGCAAGCAGTGCAAAAGGCAGAACTATTTATTTTTTAACGTTATTAATAGTCACTAGGGTGCTTACATCACTGTTGGAATGGGATAAAAAGGCAAGTTTCAAAACATATGGGTTATACATGACTGCCACTCTGGTCCTCATCCCTCAACTATGTCTGTCATGTGGCCTGTCTATAGGACAGGGAAGGACAGAGGGCCTGTGTAAGATGCTGCCCTGGTGTCTCCATACATACCGATATTCTGTCCTGGAACTCTGCTGTTGGGACGATAGGAATCGTTCCACCATGCTTCCCAAATTTTCTTTCTAAGCTTTCTTGAACAGACACTATAAAAAGCCAAAAGGTCAAGTCAAGTACAGTACTAGTAGGAGAGAAAAAAAATGAAGCAAAACCCTCCTCAAAGTAAAAAGCAAATGTGTAGGACCAAAAGAGCTCCAAACCAACAGTTTTAGAAATCTTTAAAACCAGTGCCATAAAAGGGTTAACCATGAAAAAATCCAGTTCAGAAAGAACAGAAGACTCTGCCAGTTTCCTATCAAATGTGAATACAGGTCACTGCTGTTTCCATAACACCCACTGCCAGGGCAACTGCTTGGCTCTATTAAAAGAAAATGCTGAGGAAAAGAGGAAACAGGACTGGTTTTAGCCACAGAAGCCAGGCCCTCCACATGGCCCAGTGAGGCACTCAGTGGGAGGCCTCTGGGATAGCCCACCTGAAGAGAAACTGCCCTCACGGCCTTACTCCAGAGTGAACACTCATCAAGAGGCTCACAGGCTCTATCTACTAAGAGCAGCCAGAGATAGAACAGGTGGGCAGTCATGCTTTGTAACTTTATTAACATGCAATTATGCTCTGGGAATGTGACATCACAGAATAAAGCTTTGAATATAGATATACGAGGGAAGTATGCACTGAATACCCGTAAAGCAAGTATATATTTTGTCCAAGTCTCTTTAAGGCAGAACAATTGCTAGGGGAAAGGCCCTAAAGTTGTGCTTTCTCCAGGCTTTTAGCTGATCCCAAAGATGACTTTTGGAGAACAAAATTATTGGAACTCACTGAGCAAGTGGTAGTTAGAATCCCTTTCATATTTGAAGGTCAATCGGCCATAGCTGACATGGTTTAGATTCTTCAGCCACTCAAAGTAAGATACCGTCACTCCTCCAGCATTCAAATAGAGATCCTACACACAGGATGTAGCAAGACAGAGAAAAGGCAGGGACTTCAGGAAAACTTAAAATGAAAAATAAGAACTCCATTTCTACATGGTTGACTAAACCTCAAACTTCCTAAATATCTTACAGGATACCAGGAATTTCAGTTAATCTGAAGTTTTCATTTCTCAATCTGAGGTGTTTTTTTTTTTTTTTTTTTGGCTCATGCATGATTATTTGGGCAGCTTTATTTATTTATTTATTTATTACTTTATGTATTTAGTACAGGGTCTATAGGGTCTCACTACACAGATCATACTTGCAGTGATCCTCCTGTTTTCAGCTTCCCAACTGCTGGGATTACAGGCACGCGTCACTATGTCCAGTCTCGGTTGCCTTCTCAGTACACCCCAGGGGCGGGGCTGGCAGTGCATGCCGGGATCCAACTCTGGTCCCTGCCTCTGCCTAAGCAGGCACTTTAATCCACTGAGCTATGTGGCCAGCCCTTTGATCAGCTTTAGTGAGTCTCTTCTCATCAAATTCTCAGCAAAGGGTGTTCTTGAAAAAGGCATCCCAAGTCCACACTACTTCCAATAACCTTTTGGTGTGAACGCTGGTTTATCCACTGAAAACCTGGGCCCATGTCCCTTTCAGCTGCTTTTGGAGTAAAGCAGGAAGAGACATTTGAGATGCATAAGGTTAAGAATTCTGTAGAAGAGCACTATTTAGATTTTGCACAGCCAGCCTCTCAGGAAGCTGACCACATAGTGAGAAACAGTCAGAAGCTAGAGGAAGTGCTTGATGAAGGTGAAAGGCTATGCTGATTATACTAGCCATGTGACCAGTCTTTTCTTATGAGCAAAACTAAAAACAAGTAATTCACTCCACATGGGAAATGTCAGCTTTTTCTTCTCCTGGCTCCTAGCGAGAACAATGATGATCCCCACTCGTTTCAAGCCTGAGTCACAGAGGTAACTCACCGGAATAACCATGATGCTCCTCTCCAGGAAGATCCTGTCAGCCTCTGGAGTGGTGGGTCCATTGGCACCTTCGGCAATGATCTGTAAGAGTCAGGGGCACACTCCTGTCAGGAGCTCCCACACGGGGCATGAGCTAGGGGCATGAAAGCGCAATTTTGGAAACAATTAGACTACAAGGGTCGTTTTGTTTCATGAGGTGCACAGAGCTTTTACTCATTTCCATAGTTTTCTTAACTACATTTTGGAAATTTGGTGATGGCTGAACAACTCTGAATTAATACATTCAAAAGCCATTAGGTCGTATACTTTAAATGGATGAAAGTTATAGAACATGAATTATATGTCAGTACGGCTGTAAAAAGAAACCAGTCAGACTTTTAGGACAGCCCAGATGTAATTGCATGGCAGGTGCTGTTAATACCTGTTCCTCTAATGCTCTTACCTTGGCTTTGACTTTGGGTGCATTGGATTTGGTCAACTGCTTCTCACTGGCAGCTGGGATCAGGATATCGCAGTCAGCTTCCAAGATGCTTCCTTCATATATTCTTGCCTTAGGGAATCCCAGAATTGATCCATGTTGCTGTAAATTGATTAAAAAAAAAAAAAATAGAAGAAGTAGGTTTAAATAGCATTCATCTCAACATTCTGAATGGTCAAATTATTGAGATATGAGTGTAACATACCAATTTGAAATCTTCCAGTTCTTTTGGGTCAATACCATCTGGATTATATATACTCCCATCAGATTCCCCAACACCAACACATTTAGCACCAAAACGATGTAAATATCTCATAGTGTGCAGGCCTACATTGCCAAAGCCCTGTGAAGAACAATTAATTATATACAACACAAAAATTAAAGGTCTAGGACAGGTAGTTTGAATCATATCTTGGCCAAGGTAAATCCACATCCTGTTAGTTTTGAAACAATTATCAAAATTCTTTTGCCAAAGGAACCACTGTACTCAATGGCTTTTCAACAATAAAGCTCCGCTCAAGTCAACAACTTCTGACATTGCCAGTCTTACAGAGAAGGAAAATCCATTACTGTCATGGACTACTGGACTATATTGGAATATTTTGCTGAATTCATGCACTTATAATAATCAAATGGCAATGGAATACCCTTCTCTGACAAAACTAAACAAAAAAAGGAGATACAAATGAATGACCATTTTGCATCTGTATATTCAAAAAAGGATATACAGCTACGTTCTCTTAATTCAATGAATAGAAAGATTTCTTCTAATAGTGTTTGTAAACAGGATATCATGTCTGCATCTTGTACAATGAATAACCAGTAAGACAACAATATGCAATGTATTAATTATTGAAACTGTGCTACTAATTGGATTTGAAACTGTCTTATTATTTTTTCTCAATAAAATTATCAAAGAAAAAAAAAACCAATAAAGCTCCAGGGTAAATGAGGGACCCACCCCTTTTGTTAGATGAAACCTTATGATTAAAGGGCAGTACTGCCACCTGCACTGGTTGGGTTAAGTCCCTGTGACCTGAGGTCTTTTGGTTACATAAAGGATGGAAGAGAGCAAACTTTTTTTTTTTTTTTTTTGCAGAACCGGGGATTGAACTCAGACCCTTGCGCTTATTCTACTGAGCTATCTCCCCGGTCCTGAGAGCAAACTATTTAATTAATTTTATCTTTTTGAGACATGATCTTGCTGTGCAGTCCAGACTGGCTTTGAGTTCACTTTGCAGCCTCAGCTGGTCTCAAGTGCGCAACGATCCCTCAGTCTCCCAAGTGCTAGAACTATAGGTGTGTGCCACCACCTGGCACAGCAAACTCCTTCTGAGGTCTAAATTGCAACCGAGCTTATGACTCTCATATATGTGAGAGATATAAAATCAGTTCTAGCCAGGAATCACACCAAGGTTCACAAAAATGAAGGATGTAACACTTTGAAAACAATCATTCTAAAAATTAAAGAGATTCTAAGGATCTAATTTTAAAGTTCCAAGTGTAAAAACATTAAAAAACCTTAATGTATGTTGTCTGTTAGTTATTAATAAAACACTTTTATTTACTTGAACAACAAACGTTTTATCTCCAAAGCCAGGTGTCATTCCTAAAATACTCATGTAGGAAGCTTCGTTGATGAAATTCTCAATTCCATGAAAAACACCTCGGCCAGTTGCAGAGATTCGCCCGTGGATGCCTCCTTGACTGATCGGCTTTCCGGTAACGCAGGCGTGTGCGTTAATATCCTGTTAGAGGAGTCAGGGTTAGAGAAGGTGACACATCAGGCCCAGCCCTAATCATGAACCAGCATATAAACTAAAGTTGAGTCACATTCTTATTTATTTTTTATGTATTAGGTACAGAGTCTTACTATGCAGGTTGGACTTGTAGTGATCCTCCTGTTTTCAGACTCCCCAGCGCTGGCATTACAGCTGTGCAGCACCACGCCCATTCTTGGTGACTGGCTCAGTGTGCCCAGTAGGGGAGGGTGGGAAGGTACGGCATGTGGTGCCAGGGATCTAACCCTGGTCCCTGCATTAAGCCATCTCACTGGCCCTACACATTCTTATTTAACGAATTTATTCTGATTAGCATTCTTCATAAGTCTGTGATTGAGACAGACTTAAGGCACCCTTTCACCAACAGGAACAAGCCCCACTTTTTAAACTCTTTTTGTTCCTAGAAAATAGTAACACAGAGTATATTCTTAGATGGGAGAGTTGAAATTTAGGGTCAAGCACAAATAGCAGTATGATAAAAGTAGAGACAATTGCCTTTTACATTTTAAAATCTAACATTTGATTTGCGCATGCCACTCAGAGCCCAAAACAAGAAATGTTATGAACTTTTTGGGAGGACTCAATGCTGTATTCTTCTGCCAACTGAATTTTGAAATCTAATAAAATGACACTTTTTAAAAGAATCAGTAACAATTCTTTTTTTTTTTTTTTTTTGCGGAACCGGGGATTGAACTCAGACCCTTGTACTTGCTAGGGAAGTGCTTATTCCACTGAGCCATCTCCCCAGCCCCAAGAACCAGTAACAGATGATACTAAAGCTCTCCTAAGAGAGATAAAGCTGTTTAAAAAAATGCCCGCGTAGGCAAGACCCAGAGGCCTGCACCTCTGTGCATGAAGCAGCACCGGCTTGGCCGAGGAGAGGCCTTCACCGCCCACCTGAGCCCTCTTGCACGGAGGGTGTGCACACATTTCTGTGCAGAAACAAACACAGCTAGAGAAAAGTTTGATGGCCTCACAGGTAGAGCAGATGCTTCGGCCAGCAGACTAAGTAGGAGAAACAGAAGGCAGTTAGGTGGGAACAGGAAGTCAGGGGTAGTAACGAAGGCAGCACTTTCAGTCAGAGTCAAAGGCATAGACTTGTGCAGGCCATTCCCTTCCCAAAAACAGGATGCTGTGCCTGACTGCACACCAATTCCTACCCCATGATAGGTGTAGCTGGGAGCACTTAAAAGAAAAACTGGGCTTTACTGTATTGCTTAAATATTTTCAGAGAGAATTTAAATTACCAACGAAAAGAATGACAGCCAAGTTAAAAAAAAAAAAAAAAAAAGTCAAGAAAAAGTGCTAGAGAATTAGTAGTTTTCCCAGAGTTTTCTTTCATGAATAATACTCATGAATACAGAATGGCAAACCTGGTGCCAAGTCTACCGAATAAAAATGCAAATGCTGTCACTGAAAGAGACACTGTCTGAGGCTAGGCCTGGCGTCAGCTGCCAGGCTCCCCAGCATACCTAATTCTGGGGATCCCAGGAACAGTGAGAAGAATGTGCCCCCCCTGGGGGGGGTGTACAGAGGACCTCCCGCACACCTTGAAATGCATGATAAAAACTAAGGCCTTTTCACCTAGGCCTGGACCCTGGGTCTCCTAGCACTCAAGGACAATCTTCCACCAGTTCAGGCCAAGGGTTAGCTGGCAGTGCCTCCCAAAACTACCTTTGTGGCACTACTGTTAAGCGCTGACAGCATACTGCCTACTGCTGTGCACTGGTCAGCGTGCTGCTCTGCTCAAAAAGAACAAGTGCTCCTGTGATTTGTGTCTGCTTAGCTAATGTACTCCAATCTAAGACCTAGGTTCAATCTCCAGCACCACACACTCATAGACATAAAAGATAACCTCAGAAGTGTTCTTTTTCTTTTTTTAATTTTTATTTATGAGAGAGAGAGAGAGAGAGAGAGAGAGAGAGAGAGAGAGGTGTGTGGCCAGCTCAGCCCACCAGGGGGCGGGGCTGGCTGGCATGTGGTGCTGGGGGATTGAACCGCGGTCCCTGATGCTTTGCTAAGCTTGTTCTAAGTAGGTGCTTTAGACCACTGAGCCATCTCTCCAGCCCAGAAGTGTTCTTTTTCATAGATGTTCTTTTTTGTAGTCCTTTTGGGAATGACTGTTAAACCAAAATGCTTTTTAAAAGCATACCAAGTGTCTAATACAGTTTGTTTATTATGGATCTGTGCTACATACAGAATGTTATAAATGCTTTTTTCCTATACTAAGGGCCATGAACTGCCTAAGTGCATTGGATTAGTCCTCATGAAATTTTCCTAACAGTCTCATGAGGCTAACAGTCCCAACGAAGTAGGTACCATTACAGAAACTTCCTATGAAGAAACCGAGGCTCAGGCATTCTCAGGCCATGGAGCTGCCAGGTGTTATTATTTTTTGTTGTATGTATTTGGTACAGGGTTGCACTATGCTGTTTGGACTCCTAATGATCCTCCTGTTTTTAGCCTCCCTAGCACTGGGATTACAGGTGTGCAGCACCATACCTGGACTTGGTTGAAGGCACAGCATGCCCCGGGGGTGTGACTGGTGTGGCTTGTGGGACTGGGGATTGACCCTGCTACTAGGTGTTTGCCCAAGCTCCCAGAGACAAAGTGACATGGCTCAGGAGACATCTGACTTCCACATTCTTCCTCTCCAAGCCCCATTTCTCACTGCCTCTTCCACCTCCCGAGACCTCATGACTTCTACTACCCCACAACCCCATTGTTTAGTCTTTCTCTTCTTGCATCACTTTCCTTTGGGCAGCAGCCACAGACTGGGTTGTTTCCAGTGCCATTTTTCTAAGGTGGTGGACACATCTCATGCTTTCTTTTTCTTCACTCTAATGCCCACACTTGCTCTCCTCGTGCCCAAACCACCCCATCTTCTACCGTGCTCAAAATGGCTCTAATGTCTACTCCACAGTGTCACAAACCTGCTTTCAGTGAGCTCTTCATGGCTTTCAGCTTCATGGTTTTCATTTAAGACAAAGTTCAAAGTTTCCCCAATCTTGGCTGGGCAGTGGCCTGGCGTCCTCCTCAGCTGGCATTTCCACCCTCCTCCCTCCCATTCCTGACTGGCTGCTTCCAGACTCACTTCACCCATGTATTTCCATTCAGCTCCCAACACTGGTCTGGCTATGCTACACACTCCCCGGCTGCTGTGTGCTCCTCTTCTGTACTGCAGGGTAGAAGTTTCCACTCTCAAGGAGGCCTTGTTTGACTTTTCCTTCTAAAGGCCTGGTCTAGTCCCATTGTTTCAACAACTCTGGAACTTACACCAGTTGTGCACACATGACTTGCAGTTGATCTTGTATGAAGAGTACATGGACAGCTCTTCTATATCCCTTTCTATTCCTAGTCTAGGAATGCCTGTTGCTCAAGGCTTTGTGTCCTCAGGGAAAAGAAGGCATGCTTCCTCTTGTGTTCTATTCAGTACTCTGATTGGGTCCTCTAGGCTTTCTTGACCCAGCCTTGTCCTCTTTTTTCTTCTCACACACCCAATCCAGTCTCCTGGAGTCTGTCATGCCTCTCAAGCGTGCCTAGGCACTATGATCACACGGGGAAAAACCAACATCAAGGCTTGCCATTTCTCACTGTGGTTTGCCTACCTCTCTACTTACAGCTCCACAAGTATGCCAAACCTGCAACCCAGGCCCTAGCATTTCTCTCCATGTGCTTGATCTGAACATTTTGAAGGCCTGGCCCACACATGTCCTCCAGAAACTACAACTCCAGCCTGTATTTCCATACTCTGTCTGGTAACTATCTTTGCTCCTGTGTAAATGACACTTTTTTAAGGGAAACATCAGAGCATAATGTTTTTTGATAGTCTGGCATCTCAGCAGTGGTTGGGGAAGATCTTGCTCTAGTGCACAGTCTGTGAAAGCTGTGTAAATCACAGGTAAGTAAAAGCTCATTCTTGGCTCACATTTACAGTTTAAAAAGAGAAAGGCAAGCAAAATGATATGTGATTCATCTTTGATTAAAAGGGAGGAGAAAAATCAAGTGTTTCTCAGCTTCTCACACACAAGGCAGGAAGCCCTAGGCTCCGTGGATACTCACATAGTGCCCTATGGTGCTGGCATAAGTGTCCGCGATCCAGGACATCTCCCGCTCGCCAGTGCTCATGTCCGGGGCAGGCACATCAATGCCAGGACCTGAGAGCACAGGGAAAGGGCAGGGTACCAGTTTTTAAGACAAACTCTCCTGAAACACAAAGATCCCTGTAATTCTGTAAGAGAACAAAGTCACCATGGCTAGAAGCCTTAAGGTCTCATTTAGGTAACTCATCCAAGTCACAGTAATGCTCATGATGTGTCTCACCACACAGTGAGATACACTGTTAGGCAGCAACTGCTACCATGATGGTCCTAATGTGGCAAGTTAGCTATGTACAAGAGGCTCGGACTCCACTGGCACAAGGGCTTGGTCTCCTGGCCTCAGTTCCCTCAACAGCAACCAGAGGCTAAATGACCATCTTGCTGACATGAACAGGACTGCAATTAGGATCGCGTGTGGGACACCACAGTGACACACTGCTTATCACCAAGAAGAGGGGACAAAGTCACAGCTGAAGCCATTGTACGGAAGGCTGAAATCTTTTTTATAGAATAATGATTGCTTTGACCTGCTATTCAGTGCTTAGTATACATGCGGTTTTGGGCCTTGGCTTATAATTCCTCAGATCACAGCAAATGAAATGCTTGAGAATAAAATGCATTGGCTTACAGGCAGCAAACGATGTCCCTGAAGGCCACAGTGTGGATACTAAGAATCTGCGCTCAGGGATGCTCACTGCAATCTGTGAAGGCAGGAATCCAGAGATAGCCCTTCCAAGAGTGACAACTTGGCTGTGCAGTAGGCCAGTTGGAATAAAAATATGCTGTGAAGCACTAAACAACCATTAAAAATGATGATTACATCCCTGTGATTGACTCAGAATCATCATTAAATCTAAATATGTGGGAAAATGTAGGTTTTCTTTAGTCATATATATTCCTGTTCTTATTATCTTTTTCTCTCCAGTTTCCTTCAAAGTACTGGGATTTGTAGGTATGTGTGATAAAGCTCTTTTTTAAAGGGTTACACCCACATTTTCCTATAACCTTTATTTTTTGACCATTAGAATAAGTGCAATTTCTGTTGTCTACAATTATATTAACCCAAGTTCCAGCTCATGTAATTCTCTGAAAGCTGTAATGTAATGAATGCTGGGCACGTCCAAGACAACTTTGATATGCAAGGTATGCTTTTGACTACTACACATCTTGGTCCCTATTCCACAGACACTCTTCACTGTCCCAAGCCTCCCCTCGAGGCAGCAAGCCTGCTTCAAGATGCCACACCATGCACTGGCAGAAGGACTCTGCTGCTCCTCTTGGCTCCCTTTATTAACCTCAGTGACAGGTTACTATACCAGTTTAACCATATTCCTTTTCTACAGGTACAAAAGACAAACTGCTACCCAAGTATCCTTATTTTCAACAAGGCTAAGGGATAATAGGTTTGTTGCTTCAAGTTAACAATTCCAATGGGCAAGTAGCAGATCTGAGGCAGATAGTTTGTAAATAAACTTTCTTACCAATATTGTTCTAGACTGCCAAATGCAAGACAGCTTTCCCAACTAAAACAAAGGTTACTAGGTTCTGTTGTGTGCAAAAAACAATGTTTGGGGGTGCACAGATTACAAGTCATTCTTTAATGACTGACAAATTTTCTAATATTTAACAGAGTACAGGTGGGAGAAGCCTACCCTTTCTGAAAAAGTGATGACTCTGGCATAGTTGAGAGCAGAGGTAATCTTGGTATAGTGACACAAGGTCTGAGAAGCAGAGACGTCAGGGATCTTCAGGGGACATGCCAGTTTTACACAGGTCTGTGCTATGTCTACACTCCACAAGAGTCAACAGCAACCTTTCCATGTCTCCCAAGAACCGGAAGAAGAAATAGCACTTCCAACTCCTTCTATGAGGCTGGTATCACCTGACACCAGGAATGGACAAAGGCATCACAAAAATCTACAGACAAACACCCTTCTCAGTAGGAGTAAAAATATGTAGTTGTATGATCATCCTGAGAACTACAATATGTCAGTGAGAGAAATCACAGACTCAGGTGAACAGATACATTGTATACCACGTTCAGGGGTAGAAGACAAGAGAGCTAAGTCAGCAATATGCCATTAATTTGTCTATGGATTCAACATACTTCTATCAATCCCAGCTGCCTTTCTGGCTTTTTTTTTTTTTTTCTTTTCTTTCAGTACTGGGGATTGAACTCAGGCCCTTATGCTTGCCAGGCAAGTGCTTATTGTACTGAGTAATCTCCCCAGCTCCCCCTCCTTTTTTTTTTTTTTTTTTTTTTGTGGTACCGGGGATTGAACTCAGGACCCTAAAGTACAAGGGCCTGAGTTCAATCCCCACTACTGAAAAAAAAAAAAAAAAAAAAGGAAAAGATATTCAGACTCAAGCCTCAATTGTGATCTAAAACTGTATGGAAAGGCAAGTCAGGAAATGTGGGCTGAAATGTGCACTCTTCCTACCTCAGCCTTCCAGAGTAGTGGGATTACATATAAGTGTCCAGCTTCCAAAGAATCTTATTTAACTTTTGGAACTGAGACACTTGTCAAAATTCATAAAATCAAGTGGGAAACTCTAGATACAGACAATTCATGATTGAATAAAGTCCAAAACCCACAGTTATTAAAATGAACTTAAGATTTAGGGTAAGACGATGCAGTAGGCTAGTATCAGGCTGAAGGAGATTTTAACTTACTGTACTTTAGAATGAAGATTCACCCCCCCATAGGTGTAAAGGCACCTTCTTAGCATGCTTCTCGCATATGAAGATACATAATTTGACAACATTGCTGGTGTGAGGCATGTCATAACCCAGATGCCTTATAGATTATGACACCAGGGCCAAACCTTATAAAAACCTAATGTTATCTATATGCATCTTATTTCAACTTTATTTTATGCATTTTTTTCTGAAAATGGAATAAATTTCAAAATACAGAGAACAGTGAGACCCTCTTTCCAAAACAAAAGCAACTGGAACCAAAAACCAAAAACCAAACCAAACCAAAACAAAATTCCCAAAAAAACCAACCCAGCTGGGGAGATAGCTCAGTAGAATAAATGCTTGCCTGGCAAACACAAGGGCCCGAGTTCAATCCCCGGTTCCGCAAAAAGAAAAAAAAAAAAAAAAAACAACACAAACAAACAAACAAAAAAACACCCCACAACAACAACAACAACAAAACCCAACCCTCCAAAAAAAACAGAAAAGGAGAAAAAGTGAGTTTTCTTTTCTCTTTCAGTATTAGTTTAATTAAGTATGGTAACAAGAAAAGCATATCAAGTAATTTTATTTACTCGAATGACCAAGACTTAAATTGCTTGAAAATTAAATAAATGGGAAATATTTATACATCATGAAAAGTATATTCATGTTTTACACAAAACAATAAACATAGATTAAAAAAAAAAAAAAATCAAGCAGGCCAGATACTGTGGGATTGCTGAGTTCAAGATCGGCCTGAACTACAAAGAGAGACCCTGTCTCAAAAACAAAAGAAAACAAAACAAAAACCAAAAATTGAGCAAACAAAGATTAGCTTTTTTAAAAGTTTAGTGTTCTTCAATGGCCGTGACTCATCCACATGGCTGGCACTGACAAAGGATCTACAAAGTGCAGTACAGGGTTACAAGATAAATCCTGAGGGTATTTGACTGGCCTTATCAGATACAAAAGTTACATTTATCTTGATCTTAACCATCCAGCAGAAAAGTATAAAAACGAAGTATAAAAAGTAAAGCCGGGGCTGGTGAGATGGCTCAGTGGTCTAAAGCACCTACTTAGAACGAGCTTAGCAAGCACAGGGACCGTGGTTCAATCCCCCAGCACCACATGCC